GTTGCCCAGTTAATCTTGTTGTTGCCAGTACTCAAGTCAAAATCATGATGTGCTTGTTCCCAAAGAAAAATATGACAATACATAGATCATAAAAACTCATACATTTTTGTTGAAGTAAAGTACTTCTGTAATATCAAGATAAATAACTAAAACACTTTTAACCTTTTCAGCTATACAATATAGAAGTAATTCATATTCATAAAAGCAGGGTCACAATTATGTCCAAACCAAATGATGATGCCTCTGTCTTTCTGTTTTTGAAAGGATGATCTGGCACAACAGCTAACTGCCAGCTGTTGTGTTACTACGGGAGCTTGATGGCATGGAGGAGATTTAAATGAATATCTCCAGGTGTAGATACGCTCCATGGTGAATCTTGAGAGTACCATCAGTAGCTTGAATTCAGGTTTGTTTTGAAGAGACATTAATTTTATCTGGTATATATAATGTTTACATATTATTGGCTCTTGGTAACATATATACTATGATGATGAACAGTGCTCTCCTTTCTCAGGATCGTAACTTTTTGCCACTAAAAGCATACTCTATTTGTGGCAGATATTAAAAATAATACAAACCGAAGGCCAGGCCTTCCTGAGGAGCTTGCAGAACAGTGGTCTGTCATTATCATACAAACTCCTTCTTTCTTTCTGTTCCCATCAGAGTTGGCCTGTTGGGTCCAGTGATAACTGCCTCCTTAAGAATGAGAAGGGATTTGCTCTGAGAATAAGGTCCATGAGTCCATATTTTCCAATATCTTTCATTATGGAGCAGACACAATCAATACAGTGGGGACATCATAACGAGGAACTCTTCTCTTTTTGGACTTCACAGGCTCCACACTTGGCTGCTAAGGATATTTTAATTGAGGGGAAAATAAAAGAAGCAGCAGGCAGTATTCAACAAGTAGCCCTTAATGGGTCCATCCTTGGATTCATCTGGAATGACTGGGGCAGAACGATGTTCTTTAACCAGAGGGCCTGACTCTATTGAGCTCCACTAACATTAGTCTTATTTGACCAGCTTCTCAAAGCAAATACTCTTGCAGGAAAGACAGCTGCTAGCCAGAGGGGACCGCCTGATCTGCCATCATTATGGATTAACTTTATTGAACCACAGCAGTACAAAACACCATGTTAGTTGAAAAGGGAACTCCACACCAAACCTCAGAGATAGCCTGTTTCTACTCCCTACTCAACGAATATAATAACTATGCCAGACATTGCCTTCATGACAAGTGTGTGTCCAAGAGACTCAGCATCCATGACAGTATAGATTAGAGGTCTCTAGGGGAAGTGAAGGAAGCTTACATTATCACTTGTTTTTCATCAATGTCAAAAGACTTCTCTACTGTCACAGACAGGCCAGATGAGACAGGACAAAGAAAAGTCTGCTGGCTCAGTAGGAAACCTCCTGAGGAACATAAAAGTAGCTGAATTACTGAGCCTTTGATGGGTGACTTCAGGCAACAGCTCCATGAGGCTTATTTGCTGCCTTTTCCATTTTAAGAAATCTTGAGGCCTGGGGAGCTGATTAGGGAGATGTTTTAACCCATTGTAAAGATGGCAGGCACTCTGTTCTCCAGACCCTGGCAAGAAGAAAGGTAGGCAGCATTGGAGTGTCGTGCCACCCTTCCATTTCTGTGAAAATCCCCAACAGATTTATAAGGAACAGGCATCAGTACTGTCAGACATATACTATTCTCTTCACCTGTTGCTGTCCAGTATTTCACCAGGGAAAAATTTCACCCTTGCCTTTACTGTCCTTCACTGTCATTAAAGGTAAAGATGAGTCATAATTCAACTTTTTGTGAGCCACATCGCACATGTGAACTTGAAACAATAATAATAATAATAATAATAATAATAATAATAATAATAATAGCTGAGTTAATTGAGGAATTACTGTGAGCCAGGCATCATTCTAAGGCTTTACATGTATTAACACATGAATCCTCATAACAACCCTATAACATAGGTGGCATTATTATCTGTATTTTACAGATGAAGAAACTGAGGCATAGAGAAGTGAAGTAACTTGTCAACAGTCACACAACTGGTTAATGACAGAGACTTGAACATAGGCATTCTGGATCTAGAACCCATGTTCAAATCTCAGTGGTAAACTGCCTTCCTAAAATAACACAGATACAAGAAAAACCAGTTCACACATAACTTAAGTGATTTTATACATAGCTTTACAAAGTATATCTCAGCCTGATGTTATTGCCCCATGCACTTTAAGACAAGAAGGTAACTACTGAACTAATACCAGCATTTCTATGACCAGGTTTCCAAACAGTCAAGTAACTTTCACTGGAGCATGGTGGCAGGCAGAATCACTGAATTACAGGTCAAAGAGAAACCATTTCTTTACAGTCGTTAAGAAAACAAGATGTGAAGAAGGGGGGCCAAAGGTAGAAATTAAAAACACTCTTGAGGTTTCAAATGTCTGGTTGAAGCTGGATGTACAGAACGCTCATTAGCATATTAGCGTTGACAGTGGCTGCATAGCATCCAAATACTTTCAATTTAAGTGGGAGCTTAGCAGCGATTTGAAGAATGTATGTTAGTACTTCCTCTACATCAGAGCATATAGTACTGCTAAGAGTAGTAATAATGATGACAGTTTATCTTTATTGGGTGCTTATTATATGGTAAGCAGTGTGCTAAGTATATTATTTAATGTCCACAGCAATCCTATGAGCTAGGACACTATCATTATCTCCATTTTACAGATGAGAAAACTGAGGAACAGACAGGTCAAGTAACTTGCTTAAAGTAACATAGTAAGTGGCGGAGCAAGGACTCAAACCCAGGTAATCCTCGAACTTCAAGGCCTGTGTTGTTAAGCACTAAGCAAGATACTGTTATGAGGATTCAAGCCCTCTACCATACTGTTAAGAAAACTTACCACAATTTTCTAGCCTTATTATTGACCCCAGCTCAAGCTTTGGGTCTGTAATGATTGCTTGGTGGCATTTTTGTTCTCAATGCTAGGCCTTTCTTTTTCCATGTTATAGATGGGTGGCTAAGTATTGAATATTACTTTGTGAGCATAGATTTATGCTTATATATGATAATTTACAAATCATATGATATCAGTTAACATTTAGTCCCCTGGACCAGAGCGCAGATGTGGCCTCAATATTTTTCCTGGGACTTTTACACATATGGTCCAGACTGTCATAAACTGGAAATATTTAAGTCAAATTAGATTGTCTAGTCATCTTAGACTATAAGTGTTGTGACTCAGGGACACTCTACATGGAGCTATAAAACAATATATATTTCAGTTTAAATTCTATTATAATCAAATAATAAAGAGGTACTAAATACAAAACTTGTTACTTCCTTAGAAATGCCTATGAGAAATACATTAATAATGATTTTTGAAGTATTTTAATAGCTGCCATTTTTGAGCACCTTCTATGTACCATTGTGCTAAACATGATTTAATTGTCATCCTAGGAGTTAGGCACTATTAGTCTGACTTTGTAGATGAGGACACTGAGTCTCAGAAGATACACAACTGCTCGAGATCAAATAGTGAAAGAAACAGGCTTGGAAGCCAAGCAGACTGACTCCAGAACCTGACATCTTAACCATTCTGCAATATTGGCTCCTACAGTAACATTCACGGATCCCAGATTGGCCCCACTAGTCATTCAAAACCTAAGGAAATCCATGGTCCAATCACTGTAGCTCTCAAAGGATGTTTGGTGGTTCATTTCAATTGTTGTTGGTCTAATGGAGAAGAATACAGTCTGGTGAACTACAACCTATGGTATGAATTATAGTTTGGCAGAGTTCTTTGCACCTGCCACATATAGAATTTAGACTCCTTTTTTTTCTCCACCCATTTCTTATTCACATACCTTTTTTTCTTCATGTTTGGTTGCTTTTATGCTTGTTTCTTGGCTTTTGATGTAACAACATTTCTTAATTCATTATTAGTATTGCTGTCTAGCATAGCCCACCCTCGTTATAACTTATAAGGATTTATAATCTGCACTGGAATTGTGAAATAATATTTTGGGGGGTGTAGCTAACTATATAAATAAATGGCAAAGCAAAATGGCATTACTCTAAATCTGTTTATCAACTTTAATGTGCCTGTGAAGCACCTGGGGATCTTGCGAAAATGCAGCTTCTGATTCAGTAGGTCTGTGCTGGGGCCTGAGATTCTGGGATTCTAAGTGGTTCCCAGGTTATGCAGGGCACACTTTCAGTAGCAAGGTTCTAGATTGGCCTGGTCCTGTTGTGCTTTTAAGTAGAGTCACAATTAATTGAATCTGGGGAGATTAATGTTTAGGCTGTTTAAAAAGCTGCCTCAGGCTCCCTGAGATGGCAATTCCCAAATGTCTTCAAAAATTCATTGTAATAATTAATTAGCTCTCACTGTCCAGGAAGCTTTTTTGTGTCTAAACAAAACCCTTCAGGTGCTGTGATGTTCTGCTTCTCATTTTATCTTTAGTGGAGGCGGAGTTAGTCCACCATGTCAATTCTATTACGGGTTACTTTGTTTACGTATATATGTATGTGTGTGTGTATTTACACACAGTTATTCAATGTTAAAAACAGTCTTTGGGTTGTCCTCCACCATCTCCTTTCTCTCCTCTAGGAATCTAAGATTTTGGAGATATCTAGGTCAGTTCTCTTTCTGTCTCCATGTTTATTTGCCTCCTCTATGAAATCTATAAAATTACACAAGCTTTGTAATTCCTCGCCAAAATCCTCTTGCCTTGTATTTCAAAGAGCTGTTTAAAGCTTCAATGACCCTAGCCTGCATTGGATATACCCCCAGCATGTCCAAAGTGCAAAACAGAGTATACTAGTAACTACCGGCCACCCAGACTATAAAGCTCATATTACAAAAATGCACACTCTAGGCAGAATCTGGTAAATGTCAACTTCAAAATAAGTTGTGTCATACTGCTATATTTATTACCACATGGTCAATAAAAATAAGCACTTGCGAGGTGATTAAAAATAACATACCAGGTAAAATTGGTTGTCCAGCAATTCCTAGCGGTGCCATTCCAAGATTATTCATTGCTGTGGCCCATGCAGTTGGATCAGACATAGGTAGTGTCATTGCAGTGGAATCCACATTCAGAGTTCTACTGTTATCAGCTGAAAAGAAATGACAAGCAAAATAATTTGTTGTGTTAAGGCCCTAGCATCTAGTTTACTTATAAACACAAATTCTGGCAAACTCTTTAGGGAAATGGCTGGAGAAATGGACAAGTGGTGAATCAGGCCTCAATGCCAGCTTTCTTACAAGGGTTAAAACAATACAGCTTGAACTGGCAGGAAGTCATGGAATTTGAAAGCAATTTACCAGATGGCATTTTAGTATAAGTGTTTGCTTCCTTCTCTCCCTTTCTTCCTTCTCTCTCTCTCTCTCTCTCTCTTTCAAGCATACTCAACAGAGGAGCTTGGAATGATTAAGAAGTTTCCTATTCTTCTCATAGTCTACTAGCATATGATTACTTCAGCAGCTTCTATCCAAACTACTTATGCATGTAAAGCAAGAAAAAACATCCTAGGGCTTCTGTAGTTGGCAATAAAAGATGAGAATTATACTCCTGATGTAATTTCATATCTTTGAGGCAGTACTATTGAATAGAGCTGGACACATAATCAGCAGACATCAAATTAGCTGAATGACAATTTTGGGGGTTAGGGGAACAATGAGAAAAAGCAGACTAGAGACACAGTCCCTGCCCTCAAAGGTTGTACAATAAAATTGAAGATACTGATGATGATGGTGATAATTATTACCATTATCACTACCTCCACCCACTACTACCTCTGTTGAACACTTACTGTATACCAGGTAAATCACTTGGCATGCATCATTCTCATTTAACTTTCAGAATAGCCCTATGAGGTAGGGACTATTTATATCTCCACTTAATAGAAGTTTTAGGGACATTTAAGAGAAGTTTTGAAAGGTCAAATATATTGTCCAAGGTCATACAGAATGTATAATTTTTAGCCACTATGCTTTATTGTCTTCAGTTAAACAACTAGGAAACAATGAAAGACTCAAATGGTATAGATCAGAAATGTTCCTGTAGTTTACAGTATGCAGAGCTACTGTGGCCTAAGCAGGAAATATTTCATGGAGAAAATAGGACTGAAAAGAATGGACCAGATTTATATAGAGCGCGTCATGAGTGATGAGTAGTTATTACATAGGTAAAGTAAAGGGGCCAGACATCCCAGGAGCAGGAATGATATAAGCAAAGACATTGAAATGGGTTTTATAAGCACGTACATGTACACAGTGTTGGGAGAGATATAGTCATGAGTCATCTGAGCACAAACGGACTTTTGTTTTGGGAAATTTTCCTCTGACTACTGATAGCCATAGAAAAAATATTTCTATGGCTTTTTTCCTACCTCCCAGTACACACTTCTGCCAATTACAACCTATGAAGGCAACTCTGTTCTAACAGTAGCTTGCTAAAGTCCAAGGCAACATCAGGGCTGACCCTTGCCAGTGTTACTTATACATGTGTTCTTTTGGTCACTGATTGGTCAGAACAAGCAAATGTAAATGTTTAAAAACATTATTTCTGAAATATTAGTTTTTGTCATTTTTCTGTGCTGCCTTTGCCTCCTCCCCCTTAATCCCCTCTTCACATATACACAGTGATTGATGGCACTAAGTGTTCATTAATTACAGTCAGAAGTCACATTTCAGAGCTAGTGATTTCTCCATGTGTAGGAACTTTAGTCGTCATATCCAGCTTTCAGTGTTCTCTCACAAAGGCATATCCAAAGGCTAGAAATAGCCTCCTTGCAAATATTATCAAGAAAACAAACATGGGATGCTGAATATCCTTTGGGTTGAGAGTTTACATAGTGATAATTAGTCTACTTGGACTTCCAAGCCCCCAGCTAGGGGAGATTTTAGAAAATGTTATAGCTGAAAGATATCTTTAGAGATTATTGAGTCTACACCCTGATTTTCTCTGGTTGCTGGAGAATCACTCCCAGAAGAAACTGGTAGGTTTAGAAGGACTGGGACCCAATGCCAAAAATAATTTCTTGCAACAGTTTGGCTACTCATTGGTTCTGCAGTCCTGACAAATATTAAAACGAACGAACAAACAAACAAACAAACAAACAAACAGGAACACTTCTCAGTAAAGGATTTTGAGGTCAAAGAATGAGAATTTATAATGTATCAACCTAGCCAAACTCTGGACTAATTAGGGGCGGGATAAGTGTTTGGGGGAAGACAATGATCTCAATTACAATTTTGAGGGAAAATACAGTATTGTAATTTTCAAAATGTATAGTAATTCACAATGCTTGTTAAAATGTTAGCAAGTAGAGTTCCTGCTATGCTTGTTTACAGGAACAGATAAGGAACATGTGTAATTAACAGCATTATTTTGCCTCAATGAATGTAGTTCTTAAATACTTAGGAAATTTTGCTTTAAATGTCCTTCTTATTGCCCTTCCCTCCCCTAACACCCATCTCCACCTGTCAAGATCCCACTCATTTTTGAAGGGCCACCTCAAATGCTACCTTGCTTGTGAAACTGAAATGGCCAGGTGGGAAGGACTCCCTGGCAGAGCCTCCCACTGACCTGCACCCTGGGGTGGAGCCTTGGAAGTTCATGTGTTTGCAGTGGGAAGGAGCCTGGCCCCTCCTCTTCCTGGGTGGAACCTGGGATTCAATCTACCAGGTGGGAAGCACACCAGCAGGGATCTGGCCTTGCAGAGGGTCCCTGTTTCCCTTTTTTACTCCTTTTTCCCCAATAAATTCCATTTTTCTCACCCTTCAAAGTGTCTGCAAGCCTAATCTCTCATGGCTGTGTGACAAGGACCTACCCCAAGTCTGAAGAACATGTCCTGCCATGCTGGTTCTCCTATTCTGCTGTGTGACAAGTTCTCAAGAGGTCAGAGATTGTAGAGTGGGTTGTAAGTAAGTGCCTTCTAGGTAATTTGGTTGAAGATATGGCACTTTGGAATAAGCTCCATTAGCACCAAAAGAATACACGATTTGGAAGTGATCACCTACTTCAACTTGGTATCATTTTATAACTATCAAATCTCTGCCATCTGTTTATTTTGTCTTGTTGATACATCGCTGATTAACTTGTCAATCACTGTCAAAGTTATTTGATTTTGAAGACTACACACACACACACACACACACACACAATTTCCTCTGAAACAAGGACAACAGTATGTTGGTGCCATCTCTTCAACTATATTCTTTCATTAAGACAAAAACTCTCCTTCACTGATGATTTACTCTCCTACAATTCTCTTTATTATGTCCAAGTGTATATCCATTGGTTTTTATGCTTACTGTTATTTTGTTACACATTATTGTGCAAAGTTGAGGAGACAGTTTTGTCAACAAACATCTACTGAAAGCCTGTTAACCACAGGAAGCAATCCTGTCTAATCATCAAGAGCATTGGTCTGGGAGTCAGATGGCTCTGGACTAGAGTCTAACTCTACTACTTAGCAACCGTAATGTGCTCATTCACTTTCTTTCTTCTCCTCTTGCCTGCCTGCCTTCTGGTCTTCCTTTCATATTTACCATACTGAACATTTTCTATGTGTCAGGCAGTATCGTAGATGTTGAGGATATTAGAGTGAGTCAAAGAGACCTCATCCTTGCTCTTGTAGAACTTTTACTCTAATGCAATAGACAGATATTAAAATACAAATAATTATAAAATAATTATGCATTGTAATAAGTGTTACGAGGAAATAATTGTGTTTGATGAAAAAAAATGGCAAGCTATTAAAATTAGGAAAATGAAAGCATCCACCTTATAGGTTTGTTGAAGATTAGATAATGTGGGTAAAAAATTTAGCATGTCTTCTGGCTCATATTTAGCACTCAGTAAATGGCCATAATAACATGGTAATAGTTACTGCAGTGGTGTGATCCTGGCTCACTGCAACTTCTGTCTCCTGGGTTCAAGTGATGCTCGTGCCTCAGCCTCCTGAGTAGCTGGGACTATAGGCATGCGCCACCACGCCCGGCTAATTTTTATATTTTTAGTAGACATGGGGTTTTACCATGTTGACCCAGCTGGGCTTGAACTCCTGACCTCAAATGATCCACCTGCCTCCCCAAGTGCTGGGATTTACAGGCATGAGTTAATTAGGTATGAGGCGAATAGTTAACATGGTAAACGATGAGGAAGTGGTCACAGACCTTGAAGGGCTCAAAGTCTACTGAGAGAACCAAGCATATACATGAATTACTAGAATACATTGTAAGAATAATGAATAATTGTTCATGCAATAATAATGAATAATGAATAATGAAACTGAGGCACAGAAAGTTTAAGTGATCAGCTCAACATTGCACAGCTAATAAGTGGTACAGCAGGAATATAAGCCCAGTCAGCTCTGATGCCAATCCTCACAATGTAACTCATCACACTAAACTCTCTTCCAAAGAGTACATTTATTTTGTATTCTCCTAGCTCATTGAAGACATTGCTATCATAGCCCTTACTACATTATATTTTTTGGGTATTTTTCCATGTCTGTCTCTCCCCAGAAAGCTTATTCCTCCCTGTTATTCCTAGTGCCTAGACACAGTGTCTGACATAGAAAAGATGTTCAACAAGCTATTTTAAACAAATACATGAGGAAATATAAGAGTATACAAAAGAGTCTTCCACAGATATTCTTTCCAGAAGCAGGTGTCAAACTATTCAGAACAGGATACTACTCTATCATTATACTACGATAAAATCTCTTTTGGAGGGTTTCTTTTGAGGTCTGAGTGTTAAACAAAAATTTCAAATGGAAAAAGAAAGGAAGATAAAATGGTGACAATTTCAAGTATTATAATCCTTACATGCTGATAATATAAAAAATTCACAATTACAGACATACAAACTTCAAGGAAGATAAATCTGGGGATGGGAAGATAGCATCACTGAGAAATTCTTCACTTATGAGAAGGAACTCAAATTTCTTAGAGAATTTAAGGTAATTAAATTACTAAAATAAAAGTCCATGTAGCAGTCATATCTGTTAATTCCTTGAGGCCATGGGACATAAACCTCATTTACTTTTTGTATTCTTTACTGTGACTAGCTCAAAGTAGGTGCCAATAAGTGTGTTTTTAAATAAGA